TCGGACCTGGCTACCTCCGAGACCGCCTTCTGCCACAGATTACCTCTCACCGGCCGATACGCTCCCACAGAGAGGGTCTCCTCAGGGTGCCGTCAATCAGACAATGTCGGTTGGCGACCCCCAGGGGGAGAGCCTTCTCTGTTGGAGCCCCCACCCTCTGGAACGAGCTGCCCCCAGAGATCCGGTTGATTCCGGATCTTCCCTCCTTCCGCCGCGCCCTCAAGACATGGTTGTTTCAGCAGGCAGGACTGGCCTAGGGATATTTTAAACTGGTTTTTAATTAATTTTAAAATATGAATAGGCCTATTGTATATATCTCTTAATTGATTTTAAATTTTGTAGATTTGTATTGATTGTTCTGTTTTTAATTGGCTGTAAGCCGCCCTGAGTCCATTGGGAGAAGGGCGGGATATAAATGCAATAAAACTTCAAACTTCAAACTTCAAACTTCAAATGTATGTTATTGAACTATTGATTAACCCAGTCACCACGTTGCTTTTTAAATACTTAGTTGTAAAATTAGAAAACTAATAAATTATAAAAAAGAAGATATTCTTTAAAAAACAAATGAAACAACTATATGTTATTTTTTTAAAAAAAAATGAAGTTTTTTTTTTTAAAAAAAAAAGTGAAGTCAAAATTAGCACAGTGAATGAGTTATGTATGTTTGGATTAAACTTTGAGAACCTATTTTATAATCCCTCAAAACATTACCTTCTGAAACAGATCAGCTCAAATTATTGTCTGCCAAGAAAATGTAATTTCCCTCATTTCAATATTCATATAAAGAGTCATCTGTCTGAAAACTTTTGCATAAATTTAAAACACCTAAGTAGCCTTTTGTGGGAGCAGACTGCCTTCAGACAAGTTCTGATGATTTATGTCTTACAGGGTAGACTCTCCAAGTAAAAATTAACAGTTGTATGATGAAAGTGTACCAGATGAACAACTGAGCATTTGCACATTTGTTGCATTTATCGTGCAATCATAAATATATTACAGAGTAGAAATATACAAACCTAAGAGAGACTGGAAAGCAAACCAAGAAAACTATCAATGACATAAGTAACAGAGGACAGCTTAAAAAAGAAGAATAGCATATAAAAAGTTGTGGGTCCATTGTCCCTTTTTTTAATAGATGCTCCCAAAACAGGCAAATGAAACATATCAGCTATCTAACTGTATTGCTACCTGAAACCACAACATACAACTTAGGATTCACCCTAAAAATTGGAAATTGCATAAATAGGAATAAACATACAATTAAATCACTATTGCAGGGTCTTCAGAAAATCTAAGGCGTAACAATTGAGAAAGATGAAATTATTACTTCATTTCATGACAGAACACCCTACACATCTATGGATCCAAAATCAGTCATTCAAGCCTTATTATATAAAGTACTAAACCTTGCCAAGCATATAAACATTTAATAAATATAATCATGGAACCTAAAGACCTTTGCCTCTGGACTGACTTTCACTCTGATGGACAGAACAAACTAATTAGAGGAACCCTTATGGAAATCATCTATCTCCGGATTCATAGCAAAAAAAACAGTCATGCAACATCTGCAAGCAATTGCTCTCCCACACATACAATCCAAAATGCAGATTCTGTTAAGTGTAACAAAATACTTGTCATAATAATAAAAAAAGGTTACTTGGAAAACGCAACACAATCAATAACATCTTTAACAGAATCAAATTCACAAGAGAAAAAGATATTCTTATCAGCAGAGGAAACAGTGGTATGCATATAAAAAAAAACCAACAACATATAAACCAAAAATTGCATCACCAAAGTGACAATCCAAATGTCAATAAAAAACTGTATAAATCTCACCAGCAGATTACCTGCTAGACTTTAGATTGGCCCCCATACCAATGGCATCTCTCCAAGTATCCTGAGGCCTACCCCCAAATCCAACAATTTAAGAAAGAGTGGTAGTTATGTACAATACAAAAATGGAAAGATCGTGAAGGCCGCCATGTAGGACAAAGAAGCACATACTGTTCATGAACAGTAGATAGCAGTCAGAAGACATAATAAACAGGCTTTAATTTTATGTCGCATAGAGCAATTTAACCACAAATTTAAGTGAGAAAGTAACCATTTTAGATCACTCCAAATCCAGCAGTACAAGAATATTCCCCAAAGTCAGGCATTGTGACAGATCAGCCGTTAACACAGAGAGAGATAAACTCTGCAATCGATTTAATGGGTTGGAGAATGTTCTGAAGAATAATCAAGTTGATACTAGGTAATTCTCCCTGTGATAGGAATTCTGCTGGCTATTACCATTGCTTGAAAAATAAATTCTCTAGTTGCTGTCTGTCTAAACTTGAGTTGTGAGCATATCTGGAAGAATCTACAAAGACGTAAAACTGAACAGCTGTGACTAGAATTCCCCAGCCCAGTTTGCTAGTTTGACCTCCTATTAGCCACAGAGGAAATATCCTATAGTTATTTTGTGTTTGTGTTTTTCCTTTTGCAACTAACAGCAGCTCCAGAATGTGACTGAAACCACGAATCCCATTGCATTAAAGGAAGAGGAATCCCTATTTCATAATCCCCATTGGGATAATTAAACTAGAGGATATTCCGTGTAGCATGCAATAAATCCCATTCATCCAAAAGGGTGCAAAATAATCATCATGCTGAAGCAAATGTAGAAGACAGACCTGGTCTATATAATCTTTGAGTTGTTTCATTTGTTTAATTGCAGTGGCCAAGTCTTCGTGGTCAGTGTGTTCTT